TACACTCCGTATTTTTTATTCCATAGTAAGGGCAATTCATACAATACATTTAAACTGAGCTACTTTAATACCATCTCCGAACTTTCTACCACGACTCTGCTGTTCTTCGGCTGGTTCTTCCTGTATACGTTGATTGACAGATGTCTCGTCCAGTCAGCTGTGAGTAATCCCAAACCAATGGCGCTGTCTCAAACTATACCTACCTCTTCCGGTTTGTCTGATTTGTCCTTGTGTTTTCTGACTTGTTAATTTGTTTTCGGATTTGTCGTTGTGTTTTCTGACTTGTTATTTTGTTTTCGAATTTGTCATTGTGTTTTCTGACTTGTTATAATGTTTTCTGAATTGTTGTTGTGTTTTCTGAATTGTTATTTTGTTTTTTAGACTTGCATTTGCGTTTGTAATTTGTTATTTTGTTTTCAGAATTGTGATTTGTTTTGCACTTCTCGGTCACCGTAGAAACCAGACTGAAATTTATCAAAAATGTTGTTTTCATTTAAAAATGTAGAAAGTTGATTAAGAACCACCTTCTCCAATAACTTAGCCAAGAAAGGCAGTTTTGAAATCGGTCTGTAGTTATTTAACACTGAAGGGTCCAGAGTGGGCTTTTTCAAAAGAGGCTGCACCAAGGCATGTTTAAAATATGATGGAACTACACCCTTTAAAAGACTCTGATTCATTATGGACAGGATCATAGAACCCACCACATCCCAAATCTGAGTTAATAAACGAGGTGAGATAACATCAAGCAAACAATAAGATGGCTTAAGATGTTGAATAAGTACTAACAACTCAGATAGAGAAACGGGCTCAAACATCAAAAACTGAGCAGAAGTGCAAGAGTCAGGCCGAGCTAGGAGACAGACCGGATTCGAAGCAGAGATTGGGATATTAGCTCTAGTAGTAATGATCTTATCCACAAAACAATTGTGAGAAACTTTCACAGGCTTTCTCGGAATTATCAAAAACAGCTGAACAGCTGAACTATTCAAAACTCTTCTTAAAGGTTAAGAGATCAAAGAATATGAGGAATATAAATGCATTTACACTGAAGTGCTTGTCCAAATAAAAGGACAAATAAAATAAATTATCTTGCTCTATTAGTGCAGTCACAAGTGAAACTTGTGAAGTTTTATATAGCGATTTTTTAATTTTTAAAGCGTTATCTATTGATTCTACCACTTATGTATATTACATATGATCTGTATATATAGCAAGAGGCAGTCTTTTTTTAGGATTCTAATTAGACGAATCAAAGTGAATGTTGTTGTTGTTATACATATAGTTGTTGTTGTTGTTGTTGTTGTTGTTGTTATACATACAGTATCTCACAGAAGCGAGTACACCCCTCACATTTTTGTAAATATTTTATTATATCTTTTCATGTGACAACGAGAGGTGCCATGTTGAACTTCCAGTGACCAGTATGAGTGAGTGAGAGAGATAACACCAAATTTAACACACCTGCTCCCCATTCACACCTGAGACCTTGTAACACTAATGAGTCACATGACACCGGGGAGAGAAAATGGCTAATTGGGCCCAATTTGGACATTTTCACTTAGGGGTGTACTCACTTTTGTGGCCAGCGGTTTAGACATTAATGGCTGTGTGTTGAGTTATTTTGAGGGGACAGCAAATTTACACTGTTATACAAGCTGTACATTCACTACTTTACATTGTAGCAAAGTGTCATTTCTTCAGTGTTGCCACATGAAAAGATATAATAAAATATTTACAAAAATGTGAGGGGTGTACTCACTTCTGTGAGATACTGTATTATATATATACATGACCAGGCCGTTCCATTGAATCCGCAGTAGGTGTCGCTCCAAACCTACTTTAGATGACTCATCATCCACCTCTGCAAATTAGCCTACCTGCGCATCATTTTCTGCCTCTGCGCTACTTTGTCGTGATTGGAGAGATGGGTTTTGACTGGCTCTGGGATCGCCCTATTGTTGGGTAGCCATGTGCTGCGTTTGGCCCGTTCAGCCACTTTTATGCCTGCAGCTCTGAGTGCGACACCGGACGCGTGTGGAGTCTGCGGTGCGTCTCTAGAAGAGCTGAGTTAGGATGCTGCGGCATGCGGATAAATCGCTGTATAGCACGTCGCAGCTTTAGTTAATAGGATGACGACGTCGCAAACTCTTGCACAGAATAACTGAGCACTCGGCAAAAGTCATTTACAGTGCGTTTAAGGGGGCATCTAAACATTGGGCAGTCCGGCATTTAAAAATAAAATGTTTTGGTGGCTGTTTTTTGACATTGAGAGAAATCAACATTTGTGTGTCTCTTACAACACCTCGCGCATGAATTTCCAGCGTGCGACAATACAGTTCTAGGATTTCGCTGGATGTGGGATACGTAAAGACTTAAAAGTAAGTCCTTGTGATGGGTGGGGTCCTCTATGCAGCAAAGAGTGCGGGAGGGGGGCGCGACGAAGGACGAGGTGCGGGGAAGTGCGAATATCCTCGGATGGTGGGGCATCAGATAGGCTACGAAAATCAAGAAATAATTTGAGAGCTTAAAATACCCAAGGTAACCTTTTATTATCTGTGCCATCGCTGTAGAATTCTCATGCCAGTGAGGTTGTAAAGTTCATATTTATTGATACAATTAAGCGTCTTAGAATCGACATAAAAGAAAGGGAAATATATTTCAAACTGTAATAGAACGTTTAGAATTGAATGAAAACTGTCTGGAAGAAAATGCATCCGAACGCATGACGTGACACGAATTCCTTCATCTGTAATTCGGGGGAGCTTTCGCATTAGCTTCTATTGTCTAATGTATGTAATGTAGGTTTGCTAGAATTTACCAATAAATTATATTTTGTCTAGGCATTGTTGATCGAACCAGGCGTTATTTTAAACGGGCATTCAGTGAATATAAAATATGAATGCATTGCAGAAGGTCTGCTCTGAACTGTTGGTATAGTTTTTATAATTTAATGGGATTTAACACAATATTTTTCTCTTAAATCATTATTGTTGTTTGTATGAACAGCTTGCATCAGCATTTTAAATGGCATGTCAGTTCACCTACTGTATCTGTGACTTAAAGAAACAGAAGACTCTTCTCCTCCCACATACTGTAGTTTAACAGCCGTTGGAGATTTGTGTATGTAATCTTAGTAGAAACAAAGCTAGTATCCAAAAAGCAAAGTGACCCTACATAAGTGATAAAGCGATTGCTGTTTATTGCATAACATTTATTCAGCTTTAATGTGGTGATGTCATAGGCCATGACTGCTTTGTTATTAGCATTTTGGGAAAATCAAATGTACCTGAAACACACATGGCTTAATTATTACTAGCACACAATTAAAAGCACTGTGTGAATGAAAAGCTTAGATTCATTTTGAATAATGTAAAAGGGACATTAAAGTCCCTTTCCTCTGTCTTCCTCAATGCTTTGCTTGGGACATCTTTAAATACAAGGCAACTTTTTATCTAAAAACATGGCTATTCTCAATAAGTCATCATCAGATGGCTGCTGAATTGCACAGGACCTTTTGATGTATAGTATTTCTTAAACACAAGATGTTATGTCTTGTAATATTTCCCTTACAGCAGGTTATTGTTCCACCCTGTTTCCCCCTCATCCTCTGAATATGTTCAAGGCCCTGGCAGGAATTTGTTTGCTTCATCTGACTACAATTTTCTTCCTTTTTTGGGCAACCATAGATGATGTAAGTTTATGTTGTTCTTCTTTTATATGTAGCCTACATATATGTGTGTGTGTGTGTGTGTGTGTGTGTGTGTGTGTGTGTGTGTGTGTGTGTGTGTGTGTGTGTGTGTGTGTGTGTGTGTGTGTGTGTGTGTGTGTGTGTGTGTGTGCGTTTTTGTGACAAATGAGGAATAAATTTGTATAATGACATAGGTATTACAAGGAGAAGGTGACTTTTCAGGACATTACCCATGTCCCCACTGTTCAAAACACTTATAAATCACACAGAATGGAGTGTATTGAAAATCTGAAATAGCACAAAGTTTCCTGTGAGGGGTAGGTTTAGGTGTAGGGTTGGTGTAGGGCAATAGAATATATGGTCTGTACAGTAGAAAAACCATTACGCCTATGGGATGTCCCCACTTTTTACAAAAACAAACCTGTGTGTGTGTGTGTGTAATAAAAATGCAGACAAATTACTTTTTTAAAAAAGGTGTATGAAAAAAGTGTGTTGTGATCTGAAGGCGTTTGTATTGTTGTTGTTGGTTTTTGTTTTTCCCAGGCATGGTGGTTCACAGAGAACCTTTATACAGACTTGTGGGGCAGATGGGTGATGGAGAACAATGATAATGTCTGGGTGTACATGGACATACCGACCTCATACCGGAAGGGTAAGACAAACCATGTTAAAAGTATGCATTTTTCTACATCTGCCTATTTTCACCAGTCAACCCTAGTGTACAGTATATGTACACTGTTCGAAATTAAGATTCCAGAAGATCTTCAATGATGCCATAGAAGAACCATTTTGGGTTCCCAAAGAAACGTTCAGTGAACAGTTCTTAGAGCCATTTTTTTTTACTTAGTCTGAAGAACATTTTAATAATCTAAATAACTGTTTGTACAATGAAAACATTCCATGGATGTTACTGAAGAACCTTCATTTTTAAGAGTGTACAGACTGGGACATTCATGTGATGCCTCTTTAATTCATGTATCTAGACTATCTGCAAGCGGTCCAGGCGTTTGCAGTGCTGTCCTGCCTGTTTGCTGTGTTCTCTCTGTGTGTGTTCATATTCCAACTCTTTACTCTGGGTAAAGGAAAGCGGTTCACCATCTCTGGAGTTGTGCAGCTCATCTCCTGTAAGTCCCTGTTTCTGGAAATCTGAGGTTAAATTAGGGCATTATTGAAACATACATGTGTGGATCATTGTCTTAAAGGTCCTACAGAGATGTTGTACATTTATGCATTTCTCTTGGGATCTCTAGGTTTCTGCATCATGGTGGCTCTGTCAGTCTATACCGATCACTTTCACAGAGACGAGAAGAATGGCTGGTATGGCTGGTCCTACATCATGGCCTGGTTTGGGTGGCTGCTGACCCTCTTCACTGGAATTATGTACATCATCCTGCGCAAACGAGCGGATTAAACTTTAGACCTCGCTCTCAGTGCTAATGTACAGCCTTAATTATTTTTCTTCAAAGTCTAAGTACAGAATTTGAAAAATAATGAGTTGTCTCAAATATTACCGGCGTTGGTTGGAATTGTAGAAACTTGCGCAATAAATCACAGCATCAGCAGTTCATTGAAACAGTTTAAAATCTGTCAGTGAGAAAGGGTTGATTCAGCATTTGAGGAAAATTGGCCAGAGAAGTTTCTTTCTTTTTTTTCCTTTTTTTTTTTTTTAGAGTAATACCATAGATCGGTTTGATGGGTAATCTTTCCTAGTTTCGCAAAGCACTGAGAGCAGTAAGAGGGTCTAAACACACTTTATTGCAGGGCTTAGTGTGTAAAGATGGTGAAAATGCAGTATATACAAGAAGGAAATGTAAAAAATGTATTTATAATATGTATAAAGAGAAAGATAAGTTGTACATATAAAGTACATACAGAAAAATATATGTTAATAAAGTGTAGTTTTAAACCACTTGCACTTTAAGAATTAGCCTTGTCTTAAACATGGGTTTATTTCATTTCCATTGATTTTTTTTTTTTTTATGTTGTAGATGGCAATAGCACAGGATAGTCTCTAGGTCAAGATAAGGGTAAAATCTTTGTTACTGCGATGCATTATGGTGCTGTTCAAATTTGTGATCACTCACTTGATCGTGTAGACTTCTGAATACACAATCCTTTTGTAATTGCATTGTACAGACCCTCTGCCGACATATTTATTTGCAATTTCTCTGTGGACAAAGGCTTTCTTGATAATGAAATGGGCCCTGTTGCTACGCCAGCCATTTTTGATTAGCATGATGATGGTGATGATGAATGATTGTTGATGTGGTCAGATGGTCGGTCACCTTGTAAAATTCTAGAGCACAGAATGTTCCAAAAGAATTTATAAAATGCTTTTGTTAGTTTTTTTTAAATGTCAGTATGTATTTATAGTTTTATGGGAGTAATTATTCAACATCCTCTCAAGGAAAAAGCTCCTTATGGACATCCGAGCTATTCAGTTTCTGCTTACTTTGTTTGGTTAAAGTTTTAGCTGGCTCTAGATGTATTTTTATGTTGCAGTATGACAGTAAATGGAAAGGATGATATTTTTTCAATGCAAAGCCAAACAGTGTAAACCAGGGATGACATTAATTTTAGTAATCACAAATAAAAACCTCGCCACAAGAATCGCTTTTGTTATTTTATTTACAACATCAATATTTTATAACTTTAAACAAGCTTCGACATAATCATTTACCTTTTCAGCACAATATCTTACCACTATATCAAAATGGAGAATAAAATATACATTCAAATCACTAAAGCGAGTTTGTATAGGAGACATGAAAACTTCTGTTATTAGAGCAATTTTCATGCGTGTATGTACAGCTCTGGTAGGTTCAGTGACCTACAGTCCTCATGCAAAATGCACCAGGCACTGGCATAGGAATGTTCCAATAAGAACTGTTTTGTGGGGGTGTATTGCACTGAATCATATGCCCTGACCGGAGGGTGTAATTCGCTCCTGAACCACTAAGTGGAGGAGATGATTCTGTTCTGCCGAAAGGAGTGGCCTGTTGTGAGAAGAGAAAGGTGACGGTTATCTAATTGCAAAGGTTTCAGTCTAATATAGATAAATGCATAGTATGAGTCAGGAAATGCAGAAAGCTCACCATAGTTCTGTCTGGAGAGCCTTGAGAGATTCTGTATCCTTTTCCTGACAGGCCATCTGTAAACAGGCCAGTCATACCATTTAGCCATCATAATCCAAGAGTTCTACTAGTAATCAGTTTGTAGCATTTTAGACAATAGTGTAGCCTAAAAGTCAGAGACCACTACTGAAAATACTTCTATTTTGCGTTTTTTTTAGTTCATACAATTTTCACTACAAAGTATATTATCAATATAGAATATTGAAATATATAAAATTCAATATAAGAATTTAAATAAAAAGTTGAAATTAAATTCATTGTTTAAATATCTCTTATGCTCGCCAAGGCTGCATTTATTTGATCAAAAATATAGTAAAAAAAAAATTATACTGTAACAATTACAACAATTTAAAACAACTGTTTTCTATTTTAATATATTTCAAATAAATTATTTATCCCTGTGATGGCAAAGCTGCCATTTTCAGTATCTATTACTCCAGTCTTCAGCATCACATGATCTTTCAGAAACCACTCTTTTGCTGCTCAAGAAACATGTTAAAAATCATGTTTTTAACAAATAGAAATATTTGAATAAACAGAAAGTTCAAATGAACAGCATTTATTAAAATTGTAATCTTTTGTAACATTATAAATGTCTTTTCTGTGACTTTGGATCAATTTAATGCATGCTTGCTGAATTTAAGTATAAATAAAAGGAAATAAATAAAATCTTACACCACACTTTTGATCGGTAAGATTTTCTTAGTAAAATATATTTCTTCCTTATTTTATGTCATAATGCTTCATTGTTTGGAATATTTCAGAATCCAAAAACTTGTTTCCAGATTATTTCCAGGTTTAAATTGGATTTTGAATGCAGATTTTAAATGTGGTCTCAGACAGTATATTATAACAAACTAATTTTACAAATAGATTTTAAATACTCACCACAACTGACTGCAGAAGGAGGAACACATTTTCTGGAAGGAAGTTTACTAAAGGACAGACAGTAACAACAGTTTTTAAATAAAACACTGTGCCTGCCTGGTTCTCCATTAGCTACAAAGTCTTACCCTGACTATGTGAGTCGAAGGATTCCCAGGCGTATCGCTCTAGTGTTTGAGCGTGCTCAGGTAACAGCTTTTGAGGGGGAGGCTAAAACACAGACACAAATATATAGTGTCATTTTTGGGCATAGTAAACAAACACACTAACGTTATAGGTCTGGTTTCTTAACGTATTGTCCGAAATGTGAGCTTATTTGTAAACCTCACAGATTTTAAATATATAATTTACCTCAAGCAGCATAAGAAGTAATACCCTGGAGATTTCACACTTTGCTATGATATCCATAAATGCACCTGGAATGAAAACAAACAGAATTGAAGCAGAATCCAAAGATTTTTACAGCATATGCTTCATTTCCTTATTAGCTGATGTTCAAACTGAAAGACTGCTGACTCTGCAATGCAAAACAGATCCTTGACAAGTATGAAAATCAGTCACAAAACATCATAACATGACTTCTGCTTATAAACTGCAAGTGCAAATTGCAGGGTTTGATCAGGAAATCCAAATAAACTGCAAAGCCTGGTGAAAATCCCTGAACTTAGACCACCAAACCTCACACACCTAGATTTCAAAACTAAGATTAATTGTATAGTCTTGTGGAAGTCGATTATATTCATACCGACAGGGGTGTTTGTCCCGGGTAGCTGTAGTCCTCTTTCCTGACACATGTGCTGCATCTCAGAGAGAACAGCAAGAGCGCCATCGTAATCGCCTACCAATCAAACATCACATCACTGCTCTGACCACCACAGAACTTCATCTGGAACTCAATGCCAAAACGAATCATTGCACTCTGGCAGGAAAGCACTGCTATCTCTGAACTCACGGGTCAGTATTTTGCAGGAGGCCATTTCCCACAGTGACAGCAGGGCCTCAATTGGAGTCTGAATCTGCAGTTCCGCGGCTCTCTGGAAATGAACTATCGCCTCCCCGGGTCTGTTCATCTCCTATACACAAATATATAAACAGGACCACAACATGATTAAGCACCGTGGACCAAGATGAATATGCTATTTTAATTCATTTATAAACAGAAAGCCGCTCCGTGTATTACAATGATTAATGTCTCACCTTCAGAGCATTGCCAAGCTCCAGTGAGAGACTGGCCGCCATAACAGGCTGATTCATCTCAATATAGACCTAAACAATATATAAGTACATTTTTTGATGTTGACCTAAACAATATATAAGTACATATTTGCAGTACAACATCTAAAAAAATAAATTAAAAAAAAACACAAAATCTGCATGTGATTGCAAGATTGTAGGCTTTTTACTTCATTAGTCCAGTACAGAGAGATATTTTTCAAATGACTTCAAATCAATTTTTTAGGAGCATTTCAACATGAAACATGTGAAACTGCAGATAGCTGCAAGCGAAAATTAGCTCAAACGGTTTCCTTTTAAGGTGAACTATTACTTTAGAAAATATTTAGCTCTGCTTGTAGTAGTTGTTTAACTGCTCATGGTCATCTTCTCTTCTTCTAACTCTAACAGCAATAGTGAATAAAAGTGAATAGTAAGTAATATTACGCTTGATGATTCTGTCAGGCCAGGGTTATTATAATTAACTAAAACTAAAACCATTAAAAAACAAAAAATTTTCTTACTGGAAGTAAAAAAAATCCTTACTTGAAATGAAATAAATGCTATATAAATCTTGTTTTATTTCATTTACTTTAACTTTGATGTACTAAAATATCTAAAACTGAAATAAACATTTAATAAAATTATATAGATGTGTTTAAAAAAATTAATATAAGAAAAACACAACAAAATGAAAAGAGAAAATATAAAAAACAGTATATTAATATCTCAATTATACTAAGATGCCACTGTCAGGCTACGCTCAATATTATTGAAAATATAAAATTATAAGAGACTTTTCATTCTATTTCAAGTATGAACTGAGCCCAACATTCTGCAAAATAACAGCCTGTGTTTGTTTATATATGCTTATCGGCTTGAGCGTAAGTATCTGGTAAAATATGCGTTTCCGACAAATACCTTAATAGCAAAACTATAGCAGTTCATTGCTGCCTGCATATTCTCATCGAAGCCGGGAGCCCTCAGCGCTCGGGTTTCCTGCTCCGAGGCCAGAAAGAGTCGGGCTGCATCTGTCAGTGCCAGGGCTTCTCCTGGAGCATTGAACAGGGTTTGCTCACAGCTACGAAGACAGACAAACCATTTCCACATGTTCTTTAGATCAGAAACTAGGATGAAGAATTGATAGTTATGAGAGATGCTGTGTTACCGGGCCATGGCGAGATTACAGAAGGCAGCATATTGAGGACAGTCTTGCTGTTTGAGCTCCTTGGCCAGCTGACCTGAGGAAAGATGCCATATAATGATAAACACAGACTAGCATTACCGCACACAGCATCACTCTTCTGACACAATACTCACCAAACTGTTCACTTGCTTCAGCGACATTAGGCTTCCGCAGAAAACGTCTGTGATTAAGGGAGAAGGAAAAAGTATTAAAAGGCCACTAAATTACGCTCTTAAAAATAAAGGTGCTTCACGATGCCATAGAAGAACCTTTTTGTCTAAATGGTTCCATAAAGAACCTTTAACATCTGGTTCTTTCATATTATTAAAAGGTAAGAAAGAGATGGCTCTTTAAAGAACCTTTGACTGAATGGTTCTTTGTGGGACCAAAAAAGGTTCTTCTATGGCATCGCTGTGAAGAACCTTTTAAGCACCTTTATTTTTAATAGTGTAGATTAATTTGACACTTTATATACTCTGGAATAGCTCGTTATTCGAAGCCGCTGCTTTGAAATTAAACACCTACAAGATGTCATCCTCAGCTGTTCATGCATAACGTTAAATCTTCTGTAAATTTTACAATAATAGATCGCATTGTTGTGAACCTCATTTAGTAGCTCTTGAAATGTAATTAGCAACATGCTAGTGAGGGTTGTGTAGTGCTGTCACGACATTCTTTGGTTATGCTCAGTATTGTAGACAACATTAATGGTCTACCATTAAAACATTCGTAATATATTTTAGCTCTTACTTTTTCAGTTTATTTGACACCGCCCGGTAGCGCATCAGAAAATCTCCCTCGGCTGCCATTGTTAATGTTGACACTTCAGGAGGAGGAGCAAGCAGACAGGAAGTTCGGATACGAGTGTTCCCATTGGTTACACGCAACTGAAGATGTCGTTTGATTGGTTTACACAGCGTGAGGGCTGCAGAAAATGTACCGCTTTTTATGCAAGAAGGCGAAAGGTTTGATGAGTTTTGGAGAAAAACGACACATATTCAGTTGTTTTGATCTTTTATTTATTTTCTGTCATACTGGCCCATAAAATAATAAATTATACAAAAAAATCTTTATTTGACACTTAAGCACATTCCAGCAGGTATTCATAAATCACATTCATTAACTCAATCATTCCTTCATTCACAGGTTTTCATAAACAGAATCAAATACACCATCTTCTTGTGCATTGCAGTGC